AACAGTTTACGGATTCTTCCCAACAACGGATGTTAATCTACCAACTTGTTCAGACTCTTCTCAACCGTTGAAAACAGCTTACGGACGCTTCCCAACAACGGATGCGGCTCTATTGCTTATTCAACTTCAAGGTGCCTGAAAACAGTTCACGGGTTCTCCAAGCAACGGATGTTAACCTATCACTTGTTCAGACTCTTCTCAACCGTTGAAAACAGTTTATGGATTCTTCCCAACAACGGATGTTAATCTATCAGCTTGTTCAGATGCAACCTTTGAAAATAGTTTATGGACGCTTCCCAACAATGGACGCTGCTCTATTGCTTATTCAACCTCAAGATTTCTGAAAACAGTTCACGGGTTCTCCAAGTAACGGATGTTAACTTATCACTTGTCCAGATTCTTCTCAAGACTTCTGAAAACAGTTTATGGATTCTTCCCAACAACGGATGTTAATCTATCAGCTTGTTCAGATGCAACTTTCTGAAAACAGTTTACGGACGCTTCCCAACAACGGATGCTGCTCTATTGCTTATTCAACTTCGAGACTTCTGAAAACAGCTTACGGATTCCTCCCAACAACGGATGTCAATCTATTGCTTGTTCAAACCCCCAGTTCAGAGATGGTCCAAAGCTTGGACACCTTCCTGATACTCATTCCAGATGGCATCTTTAAGCCCATCCCCGACAAGATTCTGTCGCCCCTCCAAATGGCATCTCTAAGCCCATTCTCGCATCCCTTGCTTTGACAAGTGCAAATTTCCGGGCACTCTAGTGTCCAATCTCCTTTTACCCTCAAGTCACGAAAGGCAAACTTGCCAATCTAACTCTTCGGATTCAAGAAGATTGAATAGGGTCAACTGTTGTACCCCAAAATTTGCCCTCCCATTTCTCATGGATATCTCATCACAAAGCCCTTGGAGATCAAGGTCCAGTTAGGGTTTCATCTGCTCAAGACTTCTCCTTGCACTGTTGACCCAAATTAGGGTTTGTGTTTGCACAAAGTTGTTTTGACCTAAAATGCCTAAGATGACTTTCATGCTTCATATTGGACTCCCAAGTTTATCCATACCAAGTTTCAAGCCTTGATTCCAAGTTTTGCCCAGTCAATTGGACAGTTGACCTAGAAATCAACTGTATTGGGGAAAAAGTCAACTGTGGCCAATTGACAGTCAAATCTCATGAAAATTGACTCACATCAACATGATGAACTCACATGGACCATTTGATCAAATTTGGATCACAATTCCACAAGAAATTTGATCAGATCACTAAAAGGGCAAAATGGTCATTTTTAGGGTTTTGACTGCACAAAGGCAATTTTTGACTGTTTGACCTAGCCAATGGCAAACCAAGCTCACAGATGGACTCAAGAACCCCATGGAATTATCTTGACATGTTCAACAAACTCAAAAGATCCCAAGTACACAAGATTGACAGTTGAATTTCCCAGTCAATTGATCAATTTTGACTGTATTCTGAAAAGTCAAACTTTGACTTTTTGGTCAAAATCAAGAGTCAAGATTCATTTTTCATCAAAACATGCCAAATCATGAAACTTGTTCATCAAGAAATCACAAAATGCAAATTAGGGTTAGAAAATAGAATTTTTCATAACTTAGAATTTTTCTAAGTTATGAAAAACCCTAATTTTTTCCCAACTTTGCCCCACTTTCTCACCAAGATCCATTTGGATTCAAACAAAAGTCAAAACATGAAAGTTGTAGCTTGTTGCATAATCTACAACTTTGATTCACAAAGTTTTCCCAAATGAGGCTTGTATCTCAAGTTACAAATTTTTGAATAAGGGCACTAAACCATTCTTAACTTAGTGAAATTTTAACCTATTTTGACAAGGTTTTCTACCCAACTTCAAGGCCATTTTCCATACACTTCCACTTGGAATTTCAATTTGCATTTCAAAGATGGATTGTAGTACACATTCCAAGATTTCCAAAATGTCCAAGAACTTCTCAAACAACCTCATAACTTGAGAGAATCGAATTTCACAATATGGCAAAAACTCACTTTTGAATTGATCATGAACATGTTCATAACTTAGGCCATTTTCAAGTCAGCATAGTTTGTGCTAAATTACAGGTCCTAAAACCCTTTGACACTCAATAATTCAATGCAAAACCTTTGTGCCAAGACCATGTTTTGTGTGTTCAAGCATTACCTAGAGAATTAATCCCAAAATAGATAAAGCATTTCTTCCATTTTTGCAAAAGGTAGCTTTATGTCCAATTGAAAATCCAAGCAGTACAAATGAGATCTAATTGGCACAAGATTATGAGCAAAACACTCTGATCAAGGAGAGATTATGCAGCTCATTAGGGGGCCTCTACTGACCTAGAACACAACTTGGGCATTTGTTGCTTAAAGTGTAAGTAACTTGGCATATTGTAAGACAACTCTCATATCAGCTTACAAACACTTAAGCAAACTGGTAAAACACATCCAGGACATCATAACCAAGCTAGTACACGACCCTAACACCTCTCATACACTCCCAATCTCAGAATCACCTTCAAACTGCAAAAACAGGGTCAGGCCTGCAGTTTGAGTGCCATCTTCCATTTCCCTCAAGCTCTCTTGCCCAAACCAGTTCACACACATTCCCTAGCATCTATGCAAGCTAACCATGACTTGAAACACGACCTGTAACTCCTCTAACAAGTTCCACCATTTTCATTTTTCCATTTTTGCAGTTGAAGTTCTACAGCTCAGTTCAAGGTGTCTCAAGGCAAAGTAAATATTGGAACAGCATCACCACACCTCAAGGAAGCTATACCAACCATTATCTTGCACTGAAAGCTCCCCCATTGCCAGATAGAACTTCAACTGAACAGGTATTTTGGTGAACTTCTATCTCTCTTATTAGGCATCATTAGCTCTAAGTTTGTGAATAAGCAATGTTCTACTCATGCCACTGAACCTGTACATACTTTCACTTTTCATTTCTTTTGCCTGAGCTGTGAGAATTTAAGGTTTGAAAATGGCAGAAAATCTAGGTTAGGATTTGGGGGAGAAGAAATTCTCCCTCATCTTAGAGAGTTAGATCAAGTTCTGCATATGGTTGGATTCGTCTCTTGATGCTGAACATTTTTTATGTTATGAGTTTTCAATAATAAGCCAGGAATCAGGATGTGTGGATGGAAGAACAGGGCGCGCGTTTTTTGAATATTGTTGTTCAGAGGTTGAAGAAAGGTCTTCATGGGCTGGGCTTATGTTGACTTTCCTTTTTACACCATACAATTGCTTCTGAACCCCCTGAGCCCATTTGTTTTATTTTTAATGTTTTTTGACTTTTTCTTTTTTTAATTGACTCATTTATTTTTTCTCAGCATATTAAAAATATAAAAATATTTGTTCTCATCATTTTTGAATTTATTAGGTATTTATTTGATTTTTTCTTTTAGCTTGTACATAAATAAATAAATATATACTTTTTGTTTAAAATACTAAAATAGTACAAATATATTTTTATACACTTTTATCTTATTTTTACCTCCTGAAAATATTTTATAGAAAAAATACCTTTTTTTTATTATTAAATATTAAATATTATTAATTAATATATATATAATACATATTTTGTAAATAATGCAAATAAATATACTTATACATTAGTATACTTAGAATAAAATACCAAAAATATATATATTTTATTTTATTAATATTTAACATTAAAAATACATTTTTACAAATATACTTCATTTTTCTTTTATTCTTTGTATATAAATAGCAAATATAATATATATTAAATAATTAATCCCCTTTTGATTAAAATTAGGGTTTTGCCCTAAATATGAGAATACTCCAAGAATAATACCCTTTTTTATCTCTTTTTATTTTTACATAAATAATACTTTTTCATACATATAAAAATTCTTTTACATCTTGCATATTTATTTCATTTCCATTTAATTTATGCTTTTGATTATAATGTAAATATTCAAAGAAAATGATGTAATAGCTAGGTTTAATTTCTTGTCTAAATATACCCCATTTGAAGCATTGTACCCCCCTCCCCATATTATTGTGTTGTAATAGTGTAGGAATTTAAATTTCGCACTTTAACGCTTTCTAAACATACCATGCTAGAATTAGGGTTTGTATGCGAATAAAACGAACAAAATAGTTTGACCTAATTTCAAGATAAATAAGCATGAAAATGGACAACACATTTCACACTTGCACCCCTAGGGTATTCCACTTTGTTGCCTTCAAATAATTGGGCCATGTTGCATGTTAGGTTTCTTTGGGTAAAACAAATAAATCAAATGATCATAAGTCCCTCAAAATGTTGCCTAAACAAATGATCAAGTCCCTTTCAAAGAAAAATTGTCCAAAGACATTTAACACTATTGCAATTATGGTCTGAACGATGACCCGCGCCTGTCCCTTTCACCTCCTAAATACAAGATTGTCCACCAAATGCAATGGTGGAACAAAATTGTCAAAAGGTTTAAAACATAAAAAAAATCTTTGAGAAAACTTTAGGGTAGATAACTCTTAAGTACTTGCCAATTTGCAAAGAAAAGACTTGCCTATTTTCAAAACCCACTTCACAAACATTTTCAAAACCAACTTTCAAAAACCTTGAAACATCTTTTTAAAAGACAAAACACCTTTTGTAAAACATTCGAGTAAAGAATTGTTACAAGGGTAGCCTATACAAGGCATCTTTTCAAAACATTTTCAAAACCACACACCAAGCACCATTTCAAACAATTGAAAACCAAGGAAAGATGATCTAAGCAAGTACCTAAGAGCCCATGGATAACCATGGATAGAAAGGGTACTAATACCTTCCCTTTCTATAATCTACTCCCCGAACCCAAGAAAAATCTCAAAGGTTTTTGCTGTGCTTTTTAAACCTTTCCTTAGGATAAAATAAAAAGTCGGTGGCGACTCTTGCTCAACCGAAACATTTGCGAAAATAAACGCAAAACCATAGTCAGTTCTCCCACCATATCACACAAACCATTCAATTATCTTCAACGATTCTCATTCCCACGCTCCACACAGACTATGATTTCCATCACCGGCAGATATCTATAATAGAATCTCAAGATATCGCCCTCCTGTAATTTTCTTCCTTTGGAAAACTTGTACCATCCCTTTTTAAGGCATGTCTCATGCGTATCACCCCTTATTTTCAAAACACATTCATGGTTCTCACTGAGTTCCTCGTCATACAACCATATCGTACTTGGCAGTTCAGCAAAACAACCCTGCACCACACGTGCTGGTATTTGCTATAACACCAAAATTGAACTCAATATAGAACAAAATTTCATGCAGTTAAAACTCTCATCTACTAGGTTTTATCTCTTTAGCTTACCATCATGTTTGTTGAAAAAACCTATGGCAACTCTACAACCTTAGACCACAACTCCTTTTCCAGTAGTCTGATAATCAGACTATACAGCCTGCATGATATCAGAATACAATAGTTACGAATGGTTTCGTTCAAATCATCATTGATTCTTAGCCCTACAAATAACATCAAAACTAATAGTTCAACATCCTTAATATGTTGATAACCTTACAAACTATTGTACATTTTACTGTCTGAAGAAAGCTCAATTGGATCATCGACATTTTCGCCTACATAACGACTGTCATTTAATCCTTGACCCACACCATTTACATCATCATCCCCCGACCTTGCCATAGCTTTTCCCTTTGGATGATAACGATCTGCCTCAGATTTGCACATTTCAAATTTCTTCTGCCAAGCTTCATCAATTGAGTCTTCTCTAAATCCTCCATTAGCAAACTCACTCTCTCAAGCCTTTTCTATTCCATGTCTTGACTTTTCTCTTTGAGGGGTCTGCGAGATAACATGAACAAAAAGTCTTATTGTGCAGTTAAATTGAAAACATAGTCATAATATAAAACATCCTAAAAATATAATTTGAAAAATTGAACCTTTCAGCTCTCCTACGGAAGACACCTTGAATTGTTATTGTGAGATGGAACAAAATTATTGGTGATTAGACCAATTCTTCTCAAACCCTTAACACGATCACCTTATGTCCACACTCCGAGTCTTGATCAACCTCAAACAACTGCATAAATTCCCTTTATTGTATTCAAAGTCAAAGAAAAACACTTTGTAATTTTCAAAAACATATTTATTATTAAACCTTTGTTTCAAAAAATTATCATCGAAAATAAATGACATTTTGCAAAAGAAACAAATATATAAGAATTACTCGAACAATGAAAAAACAAAGGTATAGGTCCTGGGAGTGCTATGTTGTATTAATTGTTTTTTTAATAAAAAACATTAGACCTTAGATATTTAATATAACCGAAGTAAGGTAGTAATTAGGAAGCTCCCTTCGACACCCAATTATTGCATTTTATGTTTTTTTTCAATTGTTTAGTGTGTATTTCTCACTTGGCACATTTCCAATTTCCATTAGTATTTGCCTCGGCTACAGGATCCATCTGAGATGTAATATATTTTGTATTAACAATTTCATAATACTAATTTCAAAATCAGATGTTAATAGTTTATTTGATATATTTTAACCCCTTGGTTTTCCTAAATATCTGATGTGATATATCTTTTAAATGAATTCCCAGCATATGGCGTTATGATGTTATTTTTGTATTTTGAATTTTTAATAAAACAACCACATCGATTATTTTTTTTGTAAAACTGAAATCAAACTTATTTTGCATGAAATACTTCATAGAACTATCTATCTAATTTCTAACTTTTCATTCACCTATCAACACTCAAAAGTCAATTCATCACTCTCATTTTGCAAAAAACCTAGGCCATATCAAATATCTTCCAACAGATACTCATCAAACGCCATTTCTGCAACAGGTTTGTTCTTCACTGAATCGTTAGTTTGTATATTCATCAACGTTAGTTTTTCACTTTGTCTATTGATCATTTTCTTTAGGGTTTCTTTGTTACTTTGTCTTTTGATCATTTTGTTTCTATTATTTTCCATTTGTATATTCATAAACATTAGTTTTTCACTTTGTCTATTCATCTTGATAGTCATGGCCCATTAGACAAGCACCTCCCATACAACATCAACTGCAAACTCTATTAATACACAATGTCGTAAAAGAAAAACTAGAGGTGCCACGAGGTATACAAAGGTGAAAAAAGCCAATGAATCTGGTATTCAACACCCGATTAGAGTTGATGTAGAAATCGACAAGGTTGAAGGTGAACATGCTGATTATTTTATGGGTTACATTATGTTATGATCGTGGGATTTGTACTTATGTATCCAATGATCCGGACTGCAAGTGCACAGTCTTGTCGAGTAATTTTAAAAGATATCGAACCACAGAGACTGATGAATCGATCTACCGTTTTCTATTGTTACTATGTAAATCTAAAGCTAATGAATATTTGATTTGGGTTGTAGGGGAAACTAATCGCTAAATTAAGTTGTATTTTAATAATCAATGAGCTTAATTACCAGTATGCAACAGTCTTACCTCGGGAACTAGCGACCTGTCGGGCGTCTTTATATTTTCAAAACAGTTTTCAGTAAAACCTATCTAGTTTAAAAACCCTCGTCTCACACTGTCGTTTTATTGATTTAGGCTATGCAGTTAAGTCCTAACGCACGCTTCCGCCATCCCGCAGGAGTTAAAAACACTTTTTGGAAACTAAACAAAATCTTAATTAACTTTAAAGTGCTTCCGCTGTATTTTAAGCCAATGCCTAATTACTATTGTCTAGTTAAAAGATCTCAAACTTCCGCTTTGTTGATCCTAACCTCCATCTGTTTTTTACTTCCGTAACAAAACAATTTAATAATTTGAAAAATAGTAACTTAGGCCAGAAAAGAAAGTTTCGTAGTAAAAATAGTCCCGACTAAGTTACTCATTCCCTCAGTTGATTGACTTTACATACCGGTATAAGATTTCTAGCTTGACATAATATTAAACCAAATCGCAGGATAATTTAAAGGACAAACACAAATAAACATAATTATATTAATTAATAAGCAATAAGAATTTGTAAACATAAACCTGGTAATAACTCTGAAGACATAAGCACTCCTGCACAAATTGTAGGCTTTGCTTCGATCGGAGAATATATTTAACCGTACTTAAGAAAATAATGCTGAAAGAATAGTGCTGGAAAGAAATAACTGGGAAAAGAAAATAATGCTGAAAAAAAATAATGCTGAAAATAATATTCTGCTAAAAATAATATCTGCTTAATAAAATCTCTAAACTTTCTCGCCAAAAAGCAGAACCCTTTCTACTGTGGTCTAAGGCTCTATTTATAGTGCTTGCTTGATTCGTTGCTCTCAAAATCATAGGAACAATTTACTTCCTTCTTTGAGAAATAATAGGCCATTCAATTGTCACGTTCGTTGCTCCTTTGACTGAGTGGGTGAGAAAATGTAGGGCATCGTTGGTTTAACCCTTGAACGCGCTTCTGCCCGTTGGATGAGGAGAAAGTGGAGTAATGGGCTGTGACGTTCGTCACACTCAAGTGACTATCGTCACTTGGTCTTCATGACGCGTGACGTTCGTCACGTCCCCTTGACGGTCGTCAGGGCTTTCTTACTTGTGGGCCACGTGCTCAGATGTGTGATGGGCTTTTGGGCTGGTTTCTTCTCCTTAGGCCTTTTTACTACTTTTTGCACCCTTTTTTCTTCATTTCTTCAAAAGTATTCGGCTCGGTGCATATCTGCAAAAATAGAAAAATACCTGCATAATACTTATAAAATAATTTAATTCAAACTAAAGTATGAGAAATATTTGGTGTATATCAAGCCAGAAATATCACATATTTGTGTGTCATCAAACTCCCCCATACTTAAACTTTGCTTGTCCTTAAGCAAATGCTAAGTACGATGTTTTTCTAAACATGGTTATGACTCGGATCGACTAATATATAGCTGCGTTGTGTTTTTGTCAGAAAATCGATGGTTTGATTTATGCTCCATAACTACGTCGGCGACGCTAGACAATCCCATTTTACGTAAACTAGTTACAGGTCCTATCATAGCCTACCTCGAGTATTTGTCTTGTTTTGCCCTTTTCATTCTAGCGCAATCACATTAAGCCCTTTATCTTCACACGCACATAGCAGAACAGTCGGTTAGTGGTTATGATCCTTTTAAACCTTTAGAGGTTTCTGGCACATTAATGTGGCAACCTTTAATTCAAATGTTGGATGCAGGGGATCAGACCGTAATCTGCCCTACCGAGTTCAGTACCAGATGCTCCTGAACCATCCATCAAATGAATTTTCATGTTACTTTGTAAGGTTTACATCCTTTGGATTAGGCGATCGGGTGAGGATCGTCCAATTTAATCAGTGTGTTTCCTTGCAACATTTTGCTGAAATATTCTATCATCCACATATATTCATTGACTTCCTGCGTAGTTTGTGTTTAAGACGGTGCTGACTGCTAATATAAACTACTCAAGGTTACTATAAAGACTAAACTCAGGGTGTTGGAAACAAAGGGTACTTGAACTGATCTATCATACTCTGGGGTTGTAGAGTGTCTAAACGGTAGAAATTTCGCTTAATCTCGCCCCAATTCCTGATGATTAAAGATTTTGCAGTCTATTTACTTGTCGAGTGAGAAAAAAAATATTTATGGGCTCAAAAAAAAGAAAGGGGAGTCTAAAAGAACAACACAAATTGCTGCAATAGATGACTTGAAAAAAAAATTATTTTGAATTTAAGATAACAGAAGGGAAATTACAAAGAAAATAAAAATTACTAGGAAAAGGGAAATACTTCCTCCCCCATACTTGAATCATACATTGTGCTCAATGTAATGATAGAAGCGGGAAAGGGGAAAGATAACAACATAATCATTCTTCCTCCTCTTGTCTTTGGTATCGGCCACGTGTCCTTGCTCTTCGACGTGCTTGCCCGCCATGTCTGGAAGATTCGTCGCCATCTCTTTGGGATATGATATTATGCAAGTCGTCAACACGGAGTGTTAAGGCTCGCATATCTGCCGTTATTCTTGTGGTGAATTCCAGCATACTTTGATCGTGCCTGAGAGCGTAGTCATTTTGGTCTCTCTGCATTTGTTGCATGAGAGTCATCATCTCGATTTGGCGTGTCTCGAGGCTCTGGTGGCGTTGAGTGGACAACTGGTTTTGTTGCATTATTGCGGCATATATTGCGTCGATGGTGGCGGGATTGTTGGCTTGCTGTGGTTGGGGCTCTTGCTGCTCTAATTCTTCTTCGATTTCGTCAGCGGCAACGATGTTAGCCTGACCTTGATTTCCTTGCACATTTTCTCTGGGTTCAGGGGCGTTCAGGTTGTAAAGCCAGTTATCCGGATTACCCAAGTAAGTACGATTATGATTTGGCATGATCACACTATGAACTCTTGCATTCTTAACCATGAGATAGTATCCTCCAGCTTCTCGTACTTTAATCAGGCGGCCAGCTCTACAGTTATCAATGTCCATAAAAACTGCTGGCAGCGGAGGTAGGAGTTGGATCCTTTCCCCCCAGTTCAAGTGAACTGTGATGGCGGTGACGATGCCTCCGATGCAAAAAGGTTTGGTCCCTTCTCTTGTAACGAGGTTTTGAATGTGGGCCATCATTAAAGTAACGGGATTAAGACGGAGGTTTTGTGAAAAGGTACAGTGAAGAGCATACAATTCTTTAGTGTTTACCTTGTTGTTGTTTGCCCTTCCAAATATTGTGTTTGCCATAACACGGTGTAAGAAGCGAATGTTCGGGTT